GTTGAAGAGGCATGGTGGAGGCAACGTGATTCCTACTAGTTTAGCGACAACCAAAGCTTGGAAAGGATAGATCAGACCTTGGTGAAGGTGGATCGGCTCTTGGGTAGATGAACAGTCATCGGAAAAGCGTGGAAACATGGAGGAGATGATGAGGGAAGGTGAAGCACCACTCTTGGGAGGTGAACTGTAGTTGAAACTCACTGGAAAATGGTGGAGAGTGGCCAGAATGAGGGTGGAGGGTTGGCTAGTTCGTTGTGGAACTATTCATCTTCTTTTATACAAAATCTGGCAAATTTAGTGCAGTCCCTACATGAATGAAAACTTACAAAATCAACCCCAAAAAATATGACAATTTACCACCTGAACAGAGTAAATGAGACAAATTCAAACCTAATAAATAAATCACACCCTAACATCGACTCAAAAATCATTCCAAACATGCACAAATTGTAAGGAAAAATTAAAATGTGATTTTCCATTAATAATTCCAAAATTTCTTCAATTGTCTCAGTAGAAATTTGATTTAATCACAACAAAGGTATTTTAATCATCTTACTAGAGTCATTTTCATGTCTCTAACAAAGTCCCTCAATGGTTGTGAATCACATGGAGTTGTTGGCTTGAAGGATCCTAGTGGGCTCAATCTATAGTTGCATTATAATTTATCAATTTAATAATGTATATGGTAAAATATTCCACCGACATGTTTTCATATGGCCGGGTAGTGGTAGATTTCGTAACGATATTTTTAAGGGGGAACGACTTACACTTACCCAGAGTTTGCTGTAAAGACAAATTGATACCCAAAAAGTTTTGAAATGACAAATATCCACTTTCCGTCCAATTCTGTTAGTAAATCTGTTAACTAAAATGGTATTATCGATATTCTATCATTTTGTAAGGTAATTTTGACTTTTTATGTTTTAGGATTTGTGCATAAAAAAATAAAAAAAAAGTTAAAAGAAAATTGCATTAAAAAAATCCATCCAAATCTCTTATCTTTCTTCTTCTTCTCCCCCTTCTGTTTCTCTTATTCTGTCCCTTCTCTTTCTTTCCTTTCTTCTCCCTCTTTTTCCTCCGGTCACTAGGCAAAGAACCCGGCATCGGAATATGGACTAGAAGTTGGCCAGATTGAAAGCCTCTCTCCTCTCTCTCTTCCTGTCTTCATCTTTTTCATCTCTCTTATAAAAGGGAAAAATAAAAAAGGGGGGTCTTTTGCAAAGCTGTCGTACTTCCGCACCCATTTTTTGGAAGCTCAGTCATCGAAAACCTTACCTCTCCCTGCCAATCGTTTTTTCGGTGTGCACTCTCCAAAAACCCCACTTTTACCATCACTGTTTGCTGACATTTCACCGCCGATTGAATTCTTAGGGTTTTTGTTGTTTGTTGAATTGGGATTGATTGGTGTTTTTTAGAGTTTTTGATAGAAAATTGATGGTTGGAGATTAATTGGGAGTGTTTTTTTGTGTGTTTTTGTTTTATTTTTGGGGATTTCTGATCAGTTTTGGCATTGATGATTGATTTTCCAAGTTTTGGCACACCACTTGTTTGAGGTTTTGCCCCAACCCTTCTGTGCCTTGCGTGTTTTGGCTCTTTTGAGTTTTTGAGAGTGGTTCTTTGGGATTTTTTACATTGAATCTTTTGGTGATTTGAGTGAGGTTTTTTTGGGGCTCTGGTCGTTTTTGCTGGTTGTTGTCTTGGTTCTAGCGATTGTGATTCTAGCGAGAGATGAAGATGGAATTTTAATTAAAATTAGTTATAAAAATAAAATAATTAAAATTGAGAAGGAAGATTTTTATAAAATTAATATTAAAGAGAGAAAATGGACACGTAACCAATGCAGAATGTTATTTTTTTTGTTCGATAAAAATTACCATATTGTCCTTCTTTAAACGAACTTTACTAACATATTTGGACAGAAGGTAGGTAATTGACGTTTTCATACTTTTTGGGTATCAAATTGTCTTTATAGCAATCTATGGGTGGGTGCATGTTGTTTGGCCTATTTTTAACTTTCAAAATCTTCCCATAGAGAAAGTTATCGGTGGGTGTCAATTGCGCACATCAACATGAAGATGGAAAGGACAAAAGTAATTAGCTTTTATTTTTCAAAATGCAATTTAATTCAGTACGTGACGGCAGCATGATATATGAGTTCAATGAATCTTTGACAATGTTCAAGAATTATAGGAGTTCGCTGATATTTTAGTTTGAGATATTTTTAGCTCGGATAAAAGTAAAACCGAAGAAATGTAGGGGTAACTGTACTTTGATTAGATGATTTCCCAAAAAAAAAAAAGAATAGGCACAGTAATACTAATACAATAATAGCATTTGGAGAGAGCAGCAACTGCCTATAAATACGGTAACTGGTATTGAATTTATACAAGCGAAAGTAGAAGAAACAAAGAGAGAGAGAGAGAGAGAGAGAGAGAGAGAGAGAGAGAGAGAGAGAGAGAGGAGAGAGTGAAAGTGGAAGAGATATACAGAAATCATGGAAGTGGTTCAAGTGCTTCACATGAACGGAGGAGTGGGAGAAGCAAGTTACGCCAACAATTCTTTAGTTCAGGTATATTTATAATATAATACTTTACATTTTTATTATTTGATCAGAAGATGTATAACTGAAGAACAGGTCTCTAACTTCATGCATATTTACCACAAAATTAAGTCAATCAGTTTTATTATGCAAATCCTAGAGGCTGAACAAAAGAGTGCTCATTCACTCAAAATATATGTCACATGCATCGATATAACTAGTTTTTCACAAAATATAACGTTGATCTTCTTCTTGGAACAGAAAAAAGTAATATCTATGACAAAACCCATCAGAGAGGAAGCCATAACAAAACTCTACTCCACAAGTTTCCCAACCAAACTAGTTATTGCAGACTTGGGTTGTTCTTCAGGACCAAACACTATGCTCGTGGTATCTGAGTTTATCGAAATAGTGAGCAATATCTGCAAAAAGCAGGGCAATCAATCACCGGAATTTCAAGTGTTCTTCAATGACCTTCCGGGAAATGATTTTAACACCATCTTCAGGTCTTTGCCAAGAGTTCAAGAAAAACTCAGAAAACAGATGGGCGGTGGTGGTGGTCCCTGTTTCTTCACAGGGGTTCCTGGTTCTTTCTATGGCAGGCTTTTCCCTAGCAAGAGTGTCAATATTTTCCACTCTTCATATAGTCTTCAATGGCTGTCTCAGGTGATATTGTGGTTTTCAGTAACATTATGTTCATAATTATTAATTAATAGTGATGAATTTACTGATGAAATTATGTTAACAGGTCCCAGAAGGGATAGAGAGTAACAAAGGAAACATTTACATGGCTAGTACAAGTCCACCATGTGTGCTTAAAGCTTATTATCAGCAGTTCCAAACAGATTTTTCAGTGTTTTTAAAGTGTCGTTCAGAAGAATTGGTAGCAGGAGGGCGTATGGTTTTAACATTTCTGGGAAGAAGGAGCGACGATCCCTCAAGCAAAGAATGTTGTTACATATGGGAACTTTTGGCTATGGCTCTCAATGAAATGGCATCAGAGGTAAGTACAGAAACAGAAACACGTACCCTTCTTCAAAATCACAAGTTTTTCAAGCAATAATATAGGAGATTTAACTATATATGCAGGGAATTATAGAAGAAAAGAAAGTGGATTCCTTCAACATTCCGCAATATACACCATCACCAAGTGAAATAAAATGTGAAGTTATGAAAGAAGGATCATTCGGGATTGATCGGATTGAGGTTACGGAAGTAAACTGGAATGCATACAGCGACGAGTTTAACGGAGGTGATGCATTACAGTTACAGTTACAGGATGGAGGATACAATGTGGCACAATGTATGAGAGCTGTGGCTGAACCTTTGCTTGTTAGTCACTTTGGTGAAGCAATAATTGATGAAGTTTTCAACAAGTACAGTAAAATAGTTGCGGATCGCATGGCTAAAGAGAAGACTGAATTTGTCAATGTCACAATTTCCCTCGCAAAAACTGGATGATTTATGACAAAATCCTTTACTATGTTTTAATTAATTGAAAGTAAGCATCATGAAGGATGCTATCAGTGTGTCCAGTCCCATGTGTCTCGGTGTGCAACTACATTTACATGTGTTGTTACGTTGTTGGTTCCCATTTATGTGTTGTACCGTTTAAGGTTCGTAATTAATTAAGAGTCAGTTAATCTACCATATTTCACAATCCAGAGCCTAACTTAAAGTTGCACCTGCACCTTTCTATTACTCCACTTGATCCTGTTTATTTTATACATATCAATAAAAGAAGGGCTTAAGTCTTAACCCAAGAATAATGGATAAAAGACCATGGACATACTCTTCATTATAGTGTATTTTATTATTATTTTTCCTTTTAGACTTTACTTTTTCACATGTTTGGAACCATATCCTATGGTCCGAAGTCGAAAAACTGACAAAGGAGGCTCTTTTAACAGGAAACTTACAAGACAAACACATATTCGTGAACAAATTTTCAAGGTCTATGCAATCTCTTTATTTTTTAAGAACCAAATAGGGGAAAAAATAGATCCAGTTGCAATGAACTTGTGTGGTGAGAAGTAGATGAATATACCCTTATGCAGTTTTGCTTTTGGTCCACTTCATGCCCAAACCCTAAAATTAAGGTTGATCTGGCCATCCACGTCTCCACCCATTTTTTTTTTAAAATTTTTTATTCGTTTGGTTTCGTTTTGTAATTGGTGATGCTCTGTGGACTCTGATGCTAATCAGCTAATGGTAGATGATGCTGACTCGAATTTTACCTGGGTTTCTTTTGTTCGGACTAGGATTCCTTTATTATTTATAAAATGACCAAAAAGCCCTTTACACAGTTTAATTGCTACTAACAGCAATTCATTTTTTTGGAAGTCCATTATGGGTTTTTAGCAATTCTCCCTGTCAAATTTGAGTTAAAAATCACGAGTATCCTTTTGCAAAAAAACATTCATGATTTTCATCTATCTTCACAAAGAGAGATAAACAAAAGCATTCTTGAAACACTATCAATTATCAAAATATCTCAAGTTCTCAAACACAAAACCCAACACCACTAATGGCGACGCCTTCATTTGAAAATAAACTGGCCACAGCAAAGACAATCTTAACCACTGCAGCTTCTGTTGCTGGTACGGTCATGCTAGCTCGATCAGTGTTCCAAGATTTCTTGCCCAGTGATATCCAACACTACTTCCTTTCTCGCTTTTGCAAAATCTTCAACACTCGCTCCTCCCATGTCACCATAGTCATTGACGAACTGGATGGGCTAGCTAAAAACCAAATCTACGAGGCTGCCAATAGATACGTGGGCTCCAAACTCGCTTCTTCAGCTAGCAGACTCAAACTGAGCAAGCCTGAGAAAGAATACAATATTAAACTGACCATGGAAAGCCATGAAGAAATGGTCGATATGTTTAATGGAGTTAAACTGAAGTGGGTTTTAATTTGTAGAGAATTTGAACCCTGGAGGTTGAATAACTCTCGTGATATGACCCCCGGTACTCGATCAGAGGCAAGGGCTTTGGAGCTTAGTTTCCGTAAGAAAGACAAAGACGTCGTCTTTGACTCATACTTGCCTTATATTGAGAGAGAAGCGGTGAGAATACTACAAGAGACAAAGAAACTAAAGATCTTTACTGTTGATCACAAAAATCTTTATGGGAACTGGGCTGATGCATTGGTGTCAGCGAACCTCGACCATCCTGCAACATTTGATACAATTGCCATGGACCCAGTGGAGAAGGAAAACATGTTGAATGATCTTCAAAGGTTTGTGGAGAGGAAAGATTACTATAGAAAAGTAGGTAAAGTTTGGAAAAGAGGGTATTTGTTACATGGACCACCGGGTACAGGCAAATCCAGCTTGATCGCAGCAATGGCCAATTTTCTCAACTGTGATGTTTATGATTTAGAGTTGGGTACGTTGAGGTGCAATGCGGAGCTTAAAACATTGCTTCTTTCAACTGGGAATCGATCCATAATCGTGGTGGAGGACATAGATTGTACAATTCACTTGCAAAATCGGTCACAAAGAGGTGGAGTTGGAGCTGAACTTGCAGGCTATGGAGATGATTATCTTCAACAAAGACAGGTTAGTTTCTATTTTTTGCGTATTAATTGCTCAATATTGCTTGTAAGTAACGTCTATACTAATTAAGAAGGATGCATACATTCTTAAAGTGTTATTAATTAATCCAATAATATTCTCTGCATGTAGGTTTTATTTTTGTTTGATTCAAACATTAATATGCTGATATATACTTATTGCATAAGATCTAGTTTCTGAACTACCCATTGTGTAAAGTGATTAAGAATCTAATTGTTAATGGATATAAACGTGGAAAGCATGTTACTGATGTTTTTATATTTAATATTAAGTTTACTTTGAAAATAAATGTACTTGTATCATTCTTTTTACTCTTGTCTAGAATAATATCTCTTTAGATTCCAAATGTAAATCTGAATAGTACCCGAAGAAAGAAAAACATGAAAGTAACATTGTGTAAATGTATATTCAAAATGCTTATAACCATTAAAAATAAGAATCCAGCGAAAACATTTCCCAAATTATGTGTATAGTCTTCCTTGACTCGTATTATTTTTTTGTATAATATGATAAAAAAAGTAGGTTAGAGTAGCATGAAATACAGGAAGCAACAATTGCTGAGATAGAGTTAGCCTGAATAAAATAAAATAAAGTGGGAGTCTAATAAATTTGAGATAATTTTGTCGTATAGATTATGAAAGAAGAAGAGTTGTTGTCAGGGAAGGAAACAGTAGCAAAGAGTAAACGACAATTGACAATGGAGGAAAAGAACAGTGAAGAGGACCACTTAATGGAGACTGAAGTAAGTCTAGATGTTGACACGTTTCAGTAAAGTTGATGGGATAGGTGGAACCAGGGATGGGAAAATCATTTCTTTGTGGACTGTTAGATTGCTTTTTTCTCAAACCTTGCGTGTAATGGAATCCACCTTTGAAGTATAACCACACAGCTTTGTTCAGGAATCAGAATAGTAAGGACTGAGGACACTGCAATCACATGGCAATGGTCTTATCTTGTTGAATTTTACCATCCTTTATAATATTTTCATATCCATGCCTCCATCATCTTCCTGACAAAATATATTCTCTGTTTTGATTACGACGCATGCTTTCTTGTTTGATATGACTCCATTAACTCTATGCTCCATCTCCACTCCTACTTTGTAATGATACATATTTTGTGTTTATATACTATTTTCTTTCATAGAATCATTAATGTTTGTTACTTTTATTTGTTGTGGTGGATCATGCTTATTATCTTTGTATAGGTAACCCTATCTGGGTTTCTCAATTTCATTGATGGAATTTGGTCGAGTTGTGGAGATGCAAGGATAATTGTCTTCACTACAAATCAACCGGAGAAGCTGGACGCAGCGTTGTTGCGTCCTGGACGTATGGACGTTCATGTTAACATGACGTATATCAAACCATATGGGTTTAAGGTTCTTGCTGGTAACTATCTTGGAATTCAAGATCACGTAATGTTTGATGAGATTAACGAATTAATTGAAACAACACAAGTAACCCCAGCTGAAGTGGCGGAGCAACTGATGAGACATGGTGACAATGATATTGTACTCAATGGCCTCGTTGAATTTATCAAGCTTAAGAAGAAAGAACTCATTAGAAAACAAAATTCAGATTAATTCAACAAGGATCATCTTCAGGAGTGAAAGATGTTAACACTGATCGTCAGTATTGAAAGATGATCAAGTTGAAATATAACTAATTTATTATATCGGAGACTTTAATTATTGATGTATTTGGGATGGTATATTTGCTTTAAGTCGAATGTATGAACTTATTTAAATAGGCGTTAATTTTCTTCTTTATTTCTAAATTTAGAGAGGCACGCAGGTGATAATATGATCTTTTTTCATTGCATAGACAAATTCAGGGCTAACCAGTATAAACCCATTTAAAATAAAATAAAAAAGAGTAAAGAAGAATCTAATATAATCTTTTAAGTGCGAATCTCTTGAATGGTCAAAGAGTAGGAAAAAGATTTATCAAGTTTTCTAGAGTTCGAGTTTCTTTATGATAAAAGATTAGAGCTCTTAGTCGGACTACCCAAGTTGAAAGCAGAATGGTCGTGTAGGCGCGTATTGAAGGAATTATAGCTAATTTGGGTTGAGTATTGTTGCGAGCCTACTTAAATCTTACATGAACCCAAGTAAAACCTTTTGGACACACCTAGTGTTTTTTTTATGGGTATTGTTATTTAGCCGTCACATAATTTAGATTGGTGTTATTTGAGCCCTACTAAAACTATTTCTAATTCCTTTTTTTAAATTAAGCTTTATTAAATAAGATTTTATTCCATACACACCAATATCGTTTTCCACTATTATTCTTCTCCTCTCTTGTTCTTCTAAGAGATTCTAAATAAACAAAATATTGTCCCAAATTAATATATATAATGGAGAAGACACTACAATATCATTAATTACTTAATTAATTGAATTGCTATTTAATCAAATTGTATTATATGAGTTGCCAATATAATTATTGTTTGTGCAAGAAATAAACATAAAGACACGTTCACAAGTTTTCTGAAAAGAGAGAGAGAGAGAGAGAGAGAGAGAGAGAGAGAGAAAACTACTACTTTTAAAATGATTATGAGTTATATGAACAAAAAAATTGATTGTTCTTTAAAATTAATTAAAAAGAAAATACACGAGATTGATTGATTGATTTTTTTTTTTTTTTTTTTTTGTATTTTGAAAATTACTGTATAAAAAACTGAAAAGAGTCTCAACAAAATAACGTGATCATACTATTAACAAGTTTATACTTTTTGGGTTAAACATTTATTTATTATTGCATTCGATTTTATTTAGGATTTCATAGACTTGTATAACCTTATTGGTTGTTGGCACTCCAGCAGAGCTCAATTGGGTGTGTTCTTTGTTACAAGTTCTTGGTGTCCAACTCTCTACTAGTCATGTGATCTATTGTGATAAAATTGGGACTATTCAACTCTGTTTCAATCCCCTTTTTCATTTACAAATGAAACATGTTGCAATTGATTTTCTTTTCGTTCGTGATCAAGTTCATAATGGATCTCTTTGGGTTGCTCGCATGTTTCCTTTACCGATCAAGTCGGTTATGCTCTCAAGGACAAGATTGATCTCTCTTCCCGAGCTCCATCTTGAAAGGGCATAACAGATCAAGGAACTCCATCTTTGTTGCTGCTTGTGCAATTAATTACATCAATGAAATAAGAATTGTGGAATAATATTCTCTCGACTCTCAACTTCTACTCTTATAAACTATTCTAAGTTTAAATTTTTATAACTTAAAAACATGAGGAAGCCCTTCCAGTTCCAGGTGTTAACTGTAATCAATTTCAATGGTGGAAAGTCAAACAATTAAATATTATAGCTGCTTTAGGCTGAACTAGGAGATCTACTAACCAAATCTAATTTTATACCTTCAACTCATACTAGAAGCAACATCCATATATATTAATTCCAAATTAGCAGAAGAAGATTTTCTTGTTTAGTTTGATTGACGTTAAGTTACAGTCAAGATTAAAAATATACAAACATTTTCACTGAAGAATGACTTATGCACATCACACTGCACTGGCCCGTCGCATGTGTTTATTCTTTTTCACCAAAGACAAAAACCCAAATTTATGGGATATTCAAGTACAAAAAGCTTATAATATAGCTAAAGATAAAGCCTGAGCCATGGCCATGGTTCCACTTTAGTGAAACTATACATCAATTATTAATGTTACTGTACAAGAATTTCCTAAATAAGAAAAAAAAGGCAAAAGTAAGTATAGTATTATTGATGTAAATAAATTCATTATATCTTGTCGTCTTTTACAGGGAGTTTGACATAAAGTAATCAATTAATTACTACCTATAGTACATAACATAATACAGTAGCTTCACACCTCCACAGCTCCACTTGCTATCAATCTCCATTGCAAACATGTTTAAACTCAAGGATTTTCCTTCTCTTTCAGAGTAAGTTTAATTTTTATTAACTTGAAAGATGCAATCGATTTTGAAATTTTAATCATGAAACTCAGAATATATGTAGTTGTTTTTTTTACCATACTGTCAAGCTGTTCTGCTTTTACATGATCATATGCCACAACCTTTCGTACAAAAAGTTTTGCTTTTACAGTTGAAGGGCTCTTGCATGTGAATATGATATATCAAAGGGACAATCGCAGTTAAATATGTGAATAAGTAATACAAATCTTGGTTGGTTTTGTTTGTTTTTACTATAAATATATGAATTTAGTGGCATCCATGTGTGCTTAATCCATATATTTTGAAGGAATGAAATTATGGAGGTAAACCAACAATGGATTGGTCGAGTGATAAAGGTTTGGGGTTAAGGGGTTTGCTCCCTCTGTGATCTCAGGTTCGAATTACAAGAACGGTTGCTAATATTATTGGCCATGAACTATAAGACTTCCCCTGTTTTGGAAGTCTTGTTCAGCGTCGGAGGACTAATCGAGATGAGCTTAACTACATAAACTAGCCCGAACACCTCTGGTAACAAAAAAAAAAAAAAAATTCTGGAGGTACAACACGTGTTCAAAACAATTTGTATCTTCTTGTTTTTGTACAGTTATTGAATGGTTAGATGATGGAGGCAAGCCCAGACAAACCTGGTAACAAAAAAAAAAAAAAAAAAGTCTGAAGGTACAACATGTGTTCAAATCAATTTTTATCTTCTGTTTTTATATAGTTATTGAATGGTTAGATGGTGGCGGCTGGGCATAAAATTATATTTACTCTTACTTTTCTTTTCTGAAAATGTATTTGTCAAAGGTTCTTTTTTTTTTTTTTTTTTTTTTTTTTATCTGTATAAGATCAATTCAATGAAGTTTTGTACGTTATGTTTTAATTTTTTTTTCTTGAAATTTGTTTTCATTTTTTTCCTTGAAATTGGTTCATTGGGACACTTTTAAAGATCATAATATTGACTGGGGTAGAAGACGATGACTTGGTTTAATTATAGAGAAATATTAGAATAAAAATATAATATATTTATAAGTTAATTTTTTAAATAAATTTAATGAGACTTAAATAACCCACTCTGAAAAGAAAACTGTGATTATGGTAATTAGGACTGGATGAAAGCCCTTAACAAGAGCAGAGAGCCTACTTTCAAAAAAGTTGGATGAAAGCCCTAACAAAAAGCCCAGTTTCCAAAAGAGTTGAAAAACCATGCACCAGCCGGGAATCGAACCCGGGTCTGTACCGTGGCAGGGTACTATTCTACCACTAGACCACTAGTGCTTTACTGTCAAGGGAAACTTTAATTAGTTTATAAATTACTAAACACTTTTAATTATTGTTAGTAAATCGATAGTTTAGAAATTGCTTAATTGGCATTAAAAATAACTAATTCTAACTTCTCATTCAAGTCCATTGGATTACGTTGAAACAAGGCCTGAAATTTATGTAAAACTTAATTTCATAATTTAAGTATTTTATATTTGCATCAAATACGGTAGATTTTGTGTTATGCATTGAAATATTCAATAATAATGATTTGTATTGGTTGAAATATTATTTATGATAGAAAAATGCTTGAAAATAAGAATTTCTTCATGTGGATTTGGTTTGATGAGTTGTGTTGATAATTGTTGAAATTTTCTAGAATTTCATAGTATAAAAACCAAAGTTTTCCTTCCAATTCAACAACTTTTGGGTCTTAAAACATGTAATCTATCATAGAAATAAGCATTCCTCTGATTCGGATGCAACTGTAGTTATCCTCACATAAGCATATTCCAAGGTGCCTTTGTCAGATTTTTTTAAGTGTTATAGCCGTTAAAAAGGCAACTCTCTTAAATTCTTAGTATGAGAAACAAGCAGAAAATACAAATTAACCGAAATTCAATGATATAAAAATTCAGAACCCATGTCTATAAACAACAGGATTGTAAGTATGAACAGAAAACAATGGCATGTGGTAGCTAGGTGGAAATGAGGAGAAAAAAGAACTAATCCCATAACCATAATGGGTGTTCATGTATGAAATGGGGGCTTTTTCGAGGCTTAATCCAAGTTTTATATAATTTGTGTGATCTTATGTTACAAGCTACCTCACATGTTGCTGTGATCTTATGTTACAAGCTACCTCACATGTTGCTGCAAGTCAATAGGTGCTTGCTTACGCTCCAGTATTGGAACTGAGGTGCGGGGTGTACAAATTTTCAACCATAAATCTTCGCAATTATTGAGCATTTTCTAACGTAAATGAGGAACTTGAGACTTTCATGAAAGTTGAGAAAAATCGAACAATTGAAACATTAAAATATTTATGAAAACCATAAAGTTTCTTTTAATTTTCAAGATCGAAAACCATAAAGGTTTGAACAAACAATGGACATGCTATTTACAAGGGGGAAGCGGAGATCCACAGAGACCGGGATTATTTTTGAATGCAGATACAGGAATATTAGCTTTATGAGGAGGAATCCTGCCACTCAGTCTATTGCTAGACATGTCAAAATTTTGAAGTTTTTTCAGATTCATCATATTCTCCGGGTTAGTTCCACTTAGCTTGTTCTTTGAAAGCAAAATAGTTGTCAATTCCTTAGCATCACCAAGCTCAATTGGTATCTTCCCGGAAAGACTATTGCCTTCTAGCTCCAATACTTGCAATGAACTCAGTTTTCCAAATGACTTTGGTATTGGTCCCCCAAGTGGATTGTGGGATAAAACCAAAGATTTGATATCAGTCATTGTAGGGATCTCA